GTTGAGCTATAGGCGCTGAGCCCTCTGAATGTATTTTATGACTCCCTCACTAGGTTATGAACTCTTAGAGGACTGGAAATGTATTTAATTCTCCTTTGTTTACCTTACAGCATATAGTACAGACCCTTTACTGTAAAGGTACTCAATAGATATTTGAGTAAATAAAAAAACATTTATATAATTGCTCAGTGCCAAAAATATTCTCGTTGACTTGCACAAAGGTGTTTGTTAAGAAAAATGTTTTAAAATCTATTATACTCTTATCTTTGGTTTATAATTAAGATCCACAATCTGTAATCAATCATACACTTTGATGTTTAATAATCTTATCTAGTAAAAGAGGGACAGACAAAAAAAAAAAAAGTAAAAGAAAAAGATTCAGTGCTTTAAATTTATTTGGGCTCAAGCTAACCGGGGTCACTTGTTTAGGCTTTGTTACCTGTATCTCTCCTTTGGAATTATTTTACCTAACTTTTCTTTGATATTTGTATTCAATACTCTACCCCCATGGTCCAGACTCTTGTAAAAATAGTTTCTGGGATAGATTTTTGGGAAAATTTAACTTAAATTTAAATTTGAATTACCTGTATTTGATTTTGAGAAATTAATGACAGCCTGTAAAATAATCTGAGGTATCCTTCAGAATAGAAATTGGAATCACTGTGTTAGAAGAAGGAATAGGTAGGAGATATGATGATGATTTTATCTAATTTGAAAACACCTTATGAAAGAAAGACATAGTTAAGAGAAAGGCTATACAGGATAGAACATAAGTGTTGGAGTCAGAAACTTATGGCTCTGCCACTAGTCTATATAAGAGCTTGGTCTACTACTAAGGATTACTTAACCTCTCTGAACCACAGGTTCCTCATACATAACCTAAGGGATAAGAATACCTACTAGTTTTGACCATAGGGGTATAATGTAAAGTACTTGTTCTTAATATTGTTAACTGCTATTATGATGATGACTGTGATTGTTATTCAAAGCACTTAGAGGAGGTGAATGCAGATCAGAGACTCAAATGAGATCAAATGTTCCAGATTATTTAGAGTATGTTTTGGAATGGAGCAATTATGTAGATATTGAGTACCTTTATAGCCAAGGTTCTACATGGTATGCTGTAGGGGAAACAAAGGAGAATTAAATACATTTCCTGTTCTCTATAATCTAGTGGGAGAGTCAGGAAATACTGTGTCCAGTTAATAGTAAGATGAGAGTTGCCATAGCCTGAGGGAGCTCAGGGGAAGACAGTGTTGAAGAAGATACTCAGGGTGGGTATTAGATGGTCTTGAAGACTGAGTAGGTGTTTACTAGTGGAGATGAGAGGAAGGGCATCCAGGGTTAAAAATGAAACATACCTCTGAATATGAATTTTACAATGGGATGTATTTGGGGAGTGGTGAGCAATCTAGTGTTGTCTGGACTCTTTACTTATTTTAGGAAATGTGTGACATAAGATAGGTTTGCATTAGTTCATTAAGAATTAATGAAGACACCTCTAGTTCCAGTTCAGTAAAAAATCGAGATTTGATTTGAGTATTCACAAATTCCAATTTTCAGTTTGTGATTAGAAGTTGAATTCTTGGTACTCACTACTTATGTCTAGATGATCCTGTCTGAACTCCTGGGAAGTGTGGATTATAGAACTGAATTATTTTTTCAGGATTGTATCCTGACTGCCTTATATTTACAACAGCCCTAATGGACAAAACTTCTGACATTTAAGTTCGTTTTCTGTCTTTTATCTTGAAAGACTTCGGCATGTATTATTGAAGAAGAACTAAAAGAACAGCTAAGAAAAAAGCAAGAAGCTTTGAAATGTTTTCAGAGACAAGTCAAACTCCGAGTAAATCAACAAATGAGGCTGAGGAAAATGCAGCAGCTTCAGAAGTCTTACGAAGCAGTAAGTTCAAAGTGAGCCTGAGTAAGAATGTATGTCTGTAGCCCTTGACACAAGGTTTTGTAAAAGGACAAAAATAAAAAAAAAAAGTATGTTATAAGCTACAGGCAGAATTATGTTTCTTTGATTACATGCTTTATATAATCTGATTAGTGAAGACAGTAGAGTTTTATGAAGAAATGGTGTTTTATTTCGGTGTTGTTTTGATTGGCTTTTTTGCTTTCACCAAATAGAAATAATGTCAGAATTTTGGTTTCCAACTTGAGTTTGAATTCTGGCTTTGCCACTTATTAGCTGTGTGACTTTGGGCTAATGACTTAGCTTCACTGTTTATAGTTTCTCCATCTATAAAATAAGGATGTGATACTTCTCTTGTAGGACTGTGAGAGATTTAGATGAGATAACCTAAATTATTAGCACAAAGTATGTGCTGGGTAAACATTAGTTCCTTTGCCAGCTAGAGCCTCCCTTGCCCTCGACCCCAATTTAAAATCTTCTGGGCTGCTTAGAGGCATTGTTTGATTTTGTGAATTGGAGTAGAATCTCACTATCCACCTTTCTTCCTTTTTTAGGCAGAAAAAGAAGGCTTTAGAGCCA